GTTCTCGTTTGTCTTTAGGTCGAAGTATCTGTTGACAACAGCGCAGTCAATAGCAACGCAGAAGTCTGGGGCGACACGGAAACTTTCGATCCCCGAAGATTTGATGACGAAACACCGAACATGCGCAGAAGCTTGTGTCGCTTCGGTATTGGAACGCGAAGGTGTATGGGGTACCGGGTTGCAGACACCTTTATGAAAGTTTTACTGGTCACATTGCTGGAAAAATACTCTGTTGCCCTGGAGACGGACGTGACAGGTGATGATGACAGTGTACCCGTTCAAAAGGTTGGGCCATTCTGCTTTCCGTGCGTGGACTTCAAAGTTCAAGTTGCGCAGAAAAAAGTTACTTCTTAAAAGTTACAAACACGACGTTTATCGTTATCTAGAAAAAAATTTAACATCAGAAATACTTCAGATAATTAATGGTGACATCAAGTAAACTTTGGTATAAGTAGTGAAATTTGGACAGTACGGGTCGGTTATTCAAACGTATTCTAACTTAAACCGCGGTTTAGGAAATCTTTGGACCTCTAGGTCTCTTCCTTAGTTGTTTATGGAGAAGACAAACGCTTCCCTGGTCTACGCTGTATGGTTTCATGAAACTGCTCACGATAAAGGGTGTGTTGATAAAAGCATTTGGCAAACTGAAAATGGCTTAGAACGCGGTTTTGTTAAACGGCTAAACTCCGTTTAAATAACTGGCCCTACGTGTTTTTTGAAGTCGCCATTAATTATCTGAAGGTATTTTCTGACGTTACGCGAGGATGTCTGTTAGGCACTAACTAGTCCCCGGCATTATGGCTCTTGCCACAATAAATCACACTTATTTTATGTCACCGTTGAGAATCGGTTTTAAATTAATTAATGATCAATATATAATAAAAAGACTCAACTTCCCAAATCATATTGTCTTTGCGCAATTGTTAATCGAATCAGACGCAATTGATATCGCTATGTAAATGCATCCCTTAATTGAATAACAGATTCAGTGCATCGAAGTGCCAATTAAGTTTAATTTAGAACATAGGATATAGGAGACGGATCTAGGGGCGTGAAACATAACTTTGAATAATATTACTTTCCGAATAGCCCAAGCAGTACAAACTCTCATGATCAGAAAAAGTATCCCCGCAAAGAAACATAGACTGACACTGTTTGGTTCCCTATTATTCCGTTAGATCGTCGCGGTGGAGCGGCTATCTTGGTTAATTTTTCAGTTAATACTTTTGAAACCAATCGCCCGTATTGTCTTTTGGAACGTACCATCACATATCACGTGACCCTCAATGATAAAATAAAACAGCAAAGTGAACAAATGCTTATCACTTTCCTGGGGGGATACTCCCTTATATGAGCCATACAGGTATATGCCGCCCCAAAGGGTATGTGTTTTGCACCGTTTTGGTCTGAAAATGGGTATATACTTTGGCCATTGTGGTCTGGAATCGGTTATGGTTTTTGAAGAAACTACAGGAGTGTATGAACGTATTTATCGTTTCAATTCCAAATGAATAAGAAAGAAAGAGAAATATGCGAATTCGAAGTGGATTTTAATTAATCTTTTTTGTCAGTGTTCTAATCTAAGTAACTGGGATGACATAATTTCCTAAAGGCCCGGTCTGAAAACGGGTGTGAAAAGTGACATTTTCTAGTCGTAAATAGGACCAGGATTGGAAAACCAGTCGGTACACCCCCATCAAGAATTCCAAGGAGTACCCCCCCTCCCCCCCGCCCCCCGGATCACGGGCCTGAAGCTGAGGTAGGCACAGAATCTATATGCAACTTCTGTGGCGGACTTGGACATAAATACCGGCCGTAGCATCTGCGTAATCTTAACGAAAGCTTGAAAAATCAGTGACAACCTTTTACAAAAGCATATTCCTCTCTCCCCTTTCCCTAATTTCCTGATTGGTCTTGGGTTACGGTCGATGAGAGTTTGTTCACTTTCTCGCGTGCGCGAATTTTCCAATAAGCTTCAACGGGATGTACGTTGAAAACTGTCAACGTTTTTGACATGTGTGTTAGACAGTCACAGAAATGAGGTATTAATGTTCAAAACTTGGTAGTGAAACAACTCGCCTGCAGCTCGTGGTGCCACTTGAATTTAGAACACTTTGAGGTTATATGGGACGACTCTAATACCCAGGAGAAATTAAAAACAAAGGCTATACATTTCTTTCTTTGCAGAGCGGGGAGGGGGGGGGACAAAGGTGTTTCATGGGAAATGCGCAAGTGGTGAATACAATGTTGAAACCCAGGAGCAATTGCGCATTGTACGGGCTGGGTAGAGGGTCTTGATAAGTGCAGTGTAATATTTCACAACCGATTGACTCTCTAGAGTCCCCTACCCCTTTCGACGCCGCTAAGCAGGCTACTCTGCAGTGTGTAAAAAGAAAAAGCCTTATACGCAGCCTCTCTTTGTGTCACTACTCAGTGGTTCTCTCCAAGAAGCATTGCATGACATAGTAAAGGACACTTTGTGAAAGAGAGGGTGGGGTGACAGACATGGGTGGGGTGACCTGCAGAGGGGGTGGGGGGTGACAGGGATTTGGGCAAAATTGGATGTGGCCAAAAATCAACCCCCTCCCCCAAAAATATCCCTCCTGGGACCAGTATAAGTACAATCTTTTCCTGCAAATTTATTTTTCACAACAATCAAAATAAATAAATAATATTATTATTATGTGATTTCACTTAATGACTGGGCATCTTGCAATAGAAAAGTTCTTATAAATATTAAACAATATCTTTATTCATATCAAATATCCTTCAGCTAGTTAGCAAATGACACTCAAAATCTCAAAAAAAAAAAAAGCAGGCAAGCGTGCAAATCTAATTCATAACACATAATAGTTCTTCCCAATACCTTAATATAATTTTACCCACCTCTAAACACACTGGAATATATTTTAAAACGACACAAAAATTCTAATTTGAGAGCCAGCCTCAATACATTGGACCACTTGATTGGTTTCTCTCTTCCCCCATCAGAAAGTTGAAATTCAGTCAAGAGCTTTGTAAAAGTGCACTTTTACAGAACACTGAGGGGTGGGGGGAGGGTTGACAATGCCTATCATAAGAAAATCAAGTGTCTCAAGGATTTTTGGCTGTGATTATAGATTTGAGGTTCCATTATTAGGCATTTTTTATTTCACCACAACAGTAAAAACCCCCAAGTAAGAACCTACATTTTCTGGAGTTAGCCTAAACAGGTTCTTATTTAAATGGTAGTTAACACAGTTTTAGGCTATTTAGGTTCTTATTTCTGTTAAAAAAAAAAAAAAAAAACAAGCTACAAAACAACACGTAAATCAGCCTATTTTTCAATTTCAAAATGCGAAACAACAATATTATAAACCCCTTGCACTTTATTTTTTCATTACATCAATAAATTAGCACTTTTATTTGCACAGCAATGCCAAGCTCCTAATTCTCCAAACAGGATTCTTGCACAGTTTTGCAGCTGCATTTCGCTAATATGATTTTAAAAAATAAGAACCTCTTTTTCATTTTCTAGAATAAACAGGTTCTTGTTTATAGGGGGTATAAATGGCAAATTTTAGGCCAATTTTCGGGTTCTTACTTGCGGGTTTTACTGTAGACCTTCTCCACAAACCCTCTTGATGATATTTCATGTGCCTAGGGAGCTGATGAAGTAAATGCAACGTCACATGGTATTATGAAAACTGCCATTAAATTTTCCAACATGGATATTTAAATAATTTTAGTCAAGTAAAATCCACAGATCATGTTTTGTGACGTTTTGAGCCATTACAGTTCACTGCTCATTGGTGGGGACTTCTTCCCCACAAACCATGACAATGACTATCTTTAAGGCTGTGCTATATTGAACTGAAAATCTAGGGTGCCCAGCATTTCTTTAAAGAAAAAAAAAGATTTCCTAGAAATCCAAGGGCAAAAGACAGGTACCAGGGACCACCGGACACCACTATAGCACAGCCTTAACCTTGATCCATAACAATAAAATAATTATTTGCTCTTAATAGTTCTTATAAATAAGTTCTATTTGAATGCTCGGCTAAAATGAACTTACACACTTGATAAAAAAGCTCTCCCTGTTTTTGTTTCAAAACAATTCCAATAATTAATTATTATTTCAAAAGGGATGCACTTTCATCCCAAAGAAAATACAAAGAATGGAAGAGCAAAGGCAATATTGTGAAAGACAAATTTCACTGATAGGTAAAAAAACACACTATTTTTGCTTGTTATTACTACAACGGCTGTTGTACGAAAATATCCACTTCCTTGTACCTTTACTTAGTGTTTGATGGGTGGAGTATACATGCTTCAAGTCTGTTGTTACAGACAACCCAAGTTGGTGCCCAAACCAGATTGCCTGGAAATACAACTGTCACTCCTTGATTCTCACTGCTAGGGATGTTTCACCCAAGAGACATCTGCACCTCAATGACAGAAACTCCCTTCTAAGTATGTCACTCAATGTTTACATAATTACTCTGGTAGAAATGTAAATTTGTTCATGTTTATGTCTCTTCTGGTCTATTATGGTTTTTTGAGTTCTTCTGCAAATGAGCTGTAGTAAAACTCAAGTGTTTCTTCTAAAGAAGAATATACCCTGTCAATTGTATTCCACGAATAATGACTGTTTTTTAGTAGATTCATCACATTTACAGTTGACTTTTGTGACCTTTTGTCTCTTGTCTGTCATTTGTAAAGAATAGCTATTAACCGTGTATAGAGAGCTCCTGATCAGATTCCAGACAGATTTTACATCACCAGTTATAGTATGAAAAATCAGTCATTGAGATGCGCATGTCCTCCTGCTAAACATACTCAATAATATACCCAGCAACTTGAAACCTTAGTGACAGCCCTGCTGTCCTCTAAACAGTATATTGACATTGTATAACCTAACACCGAACAGTACTCATATATGGAGCCAACAAAATAAGGTCCATTTGAATTAATTACTATAAAATAAAACTAAATGATTGTCAATTCCAATAAGATTTCTCTCACAGAAGTGGCTGTTTCCTGAAGTATGCCAAAGCCTGGGATGCACAATGCACACCGATGTTAAATACTGGGTGAATGGGAGCCAGATGATTCTCTTGTCCTCCTACTATCGTTAGATTGCTTTGATTCTTGTTGACAAAGTGTTGAGCCACAGACAAACCACTGAGACAGTAGCATGTGTGATAGAAGTCACGTGATTTTCCAGGTTTGTCAACAAGTCCTCCGTGATGAAGCTGACAGTTCATCAACAAATAATCTTGAAGGGCAACTTGATCAAACATCCATTTCTCATTACTCAGTGAGTTTCCATCTGTAGTAGCACCAAGAACAGTATGAAGCAAAGGAAATATTCCACCTTGCCAGAAAGAATAGCAGCCATCTACCAGTTTATTGGTTCTCCCTTGGAAACCACCCTCCAGACGCATCTGCCGACTCGCCACCCAATGAAGTAGACGCTTGTTATCAATTAAATCCTGTTTACCCAACAAAACCAGTGCGGCATATCCACAGAAGGTATATCCCCCATGGGCTTCTAAACCAGGTTCTCCTGAAAATCCACCTTCATAACTCTGGCATTTGGTGATCCACTCCGCTGTCCCCTCAAACAAATCTGGGGTGACGATATTTGTAAGATACGCCGCAACTACAGCGCAGTATGCACCTCTGATATCCACCTCACCATCGCGATGCATTGTAAATGCGCCTTCAGCTGTACGGCGACTCAGCAAGAAAGACTTCAGCTTAGGTCGGTCGATGATGTCATAGGCCTCCTTCGTCCCCAGGATGCAGAGCGCGCAAACAGCTGCATATGTGGGAGCAAGATGAGGAACTTGTTGCGGCCCCCCTGAAAAGCCCCCAGAAGGATATTGACAGCGTCTCAAAAAATCAGCAGTTCGAGAGATTTCTTCAGGACTTATTGATTCATTGAGTAGTTCCAGTCCGTGTAAGATCCAGTAACAAAGCCAAGGTCGGCTGGCGTCCAAACATTCATAAGCTTCAGACAGATGATGCAGACCTCGTTTGAGGTAGTGAACGTGTTTCTGGCGGAACAGTGGCACTTCCGGGTCTAGATTTTTGACACGAAAGTACGCAGTGTAATTTCTTCCCACAAGCTGTTCGACTTTCTCTTGCTCTTCCGAAGTGAGAGTGGAAAGGCCGTCATCTTTGAAGCGGAGATCGTCAAGTTTCTTTGCAGAATGGTACGCCATTTTGAAGCAGAGGCAAAGCCCACCAGATAGTCGGCACCAGTCTACACCCGGTTGAAAAATGAACCTCATGACCATATTTGGAGGTAGAGAAAACATTTATTGGAGAAGCGCGCAGTTTGCAACCATGTCGCCTTCTTTTTTCATTTCTTTCTCGTGAATTTTCTTGATATGTCACAAAAATGGCAGCTTTAAAGACAACAAAAAGGCAAAGAAGTTTCGAAGCTTTCAGCTCTCCATTTTCAGCCGTCTTTACATCTGTTGGAAAGCAACAAAACGAGAAGGCGTTGAAGCTGGCCTTCTACAACACAGCCGCTCTGGTATTCGTGGCGTTGAGCGGTTGTGCTGCTGTTGCTGTTTACTATGTTCTGGGGCCATTTATTCGTCCTCTCTTGTGGGCAGCTTTATGTGGAGCCTTCTTGTTTCCGTTTAAATGGAAACTTACTCAAGTTGTTCGAGGATTTCTTCGTTCTTTAAGAGAATCTAGGACACCTTTGGTGGTTGGAGCGATGATGGTGCCATTTCGGTTAGGCAATAAATTTTCAGACTTTGTTGGATCTTTTTTCCTGGAAAAGAAACGTAACTTCATCTTGTTTTCCCTGATTGCCGCTGGTGTTTACGGTCTGTACATTATTCAGCCGTTTAATGAGATTGTGTGGATTTTAAAAGGNGGAAAGGCCATCATCTTTGAAGCGGAGATCGTCAAGTTTCTTTGCAGAATGGTACGCCATTTTGAAGCAGAGGCAAAGCCCACCAGATAGTCGGCACCAGTCTACACCCGGTTGAAAAATGAACCTCATGACCATATTTGGAGGTAGAGAAAACATTTATTGGAGAAGCGCGCAGTTTGCAACCATGTCGCCTTCTTTTTTCATTTCTTTCTCGTGAATTTTCTTGATATGTCACAAAAATGGCAGCTTTAAAGACAACAAAAAGGCAAAGAAGTTTCGAAGCTTTCAGCTCTCCATTTTCAGCCGTCTTTACATCTGTTGGAAAGCAACAAAACGAGAAGGCGTTGAAGCTGGCCTTCTACAACACAGCCGCTCTGGTATTCGTGGCGTTGAGCGGTTGTGCTGCTGTTGCTGTTTACTATGTTCTGGGGCCATTTATTCGTCCTCTCTTGTGGGCAGCTTTATGTGGAGCCTTCTTGTTTCCGTTTAAATGGAAACTTACTCAAGTTGTTCGAGGATTTCTTCGTTCTTTAAGAGAATCTAGGACACCTTTGGTGGTTGGAGCGATGATGGTGCCATTTCGGTTAGGCAATAAATTTTCAGACTTTGTTGGATCTTTTTTCCTGGAAAAGAAACGTAACTTCATCTTGTTTTCCCTGATTGCCGCTGGTGTTTACGGTCTGTACATTATTCAGCCGTTTAATGAGATTGTGTGGATTTTAAAAGGATGTGGTTCGTTTGTCCACATGCTGTTAGACATATTTAGCAATCCCTACCTGGTTAGTATCAATTCTTTTACTGATTACTGCAAAACTGAGAATCAGATGCTCATGGAGTGAACATCAGTGACAAAAGCGAAAACGAAAGAGCTGCCTCAGTGTTGCTATTTAAGAGAAACATTAGCCTGAGCCAGCAGCTCTAGTTGCAGAAAATTTTTCTGTTTTAAGAGGGTTGCCTGCCTGTGCAAGTGGGAGCATTGGCTGTACTTTATATTAGCAATCAATGGGTCAGGACATGTGGGGGGAGGGGGCAGGGGGTAAGCTATGTATTTTTAGGTGGGGTTCGTCACTAAGGCACTGGAAACTTTAGAACCCTTATCCTCACTTCATTTTGCACCCATTTTAGATTAGTAGGGCTATTGTAGAACATTTCAAAAACTGGCATTATGATAATTTGATTGCTAGCCCTTTATCAGAGAGATTTACCCTCTCTCTTCTCAGCCTTGGCACCGTAATTTTCTACCTTACTTTCTTTTTGTTTTGCTCATCCTGACCTGGCATTTATGTGTCTTGCCACATAGAGCACAAAGCATTTTTTTTATTATTTGAAGAGAAGGATGAGTGGTGTTAAAGGTGGTGTTGTCACCAAAAGATTGATAGACATTAATGAAAGTCCTCACACCACCAATGTTAACTTAACTTACCTGACTTACAATAGTATAGTTTTGCAACATCTCACAACACCCTAAACTTAGCAATGGTAACTAGACAAGGCACACATAGTCTTTAACCTTGGCGACACCCTGCCAGCAAGTTCTTAAGGGGGAAGGGGGGTAGGAGAAGAAAGAGGCATTCTCTTCCCACCGGCACCCCACAAGAGCTTGCTGAGAGGCTACCTTGGCAATGGATCTTGTCAATCACTTGAGATGTTAGGGGACTGTAAATGATCAAACACGTAACGGTACCGTTTTCTTTTCATGTCTCTTAGGTATGGACTATTATAGTTGGCTATGTACTAATCTTGGTATTCTTTTGGACACCAAGCTCCTCAAGTATTATCTCCTTCTTCTCTTTACCTGTCTGGATTATGTTCCTGCTTCACCTTGTATCTCTAACTGGTTCTTACAGAATTCTGTTTTTCGTGTTGCTTGCTGTTTGTTCTATTGTTGGATACCTCACTGCTGCTTCTGAAGGGCATGACCAAGGTAAATAAAAGCTTTTTACTTTGATTTTTGAGATGTAGATGAAAAGAAAGCTTTAAGTTCAGGCAGACTTTAATAATAAGTTATTGTCAATTCTATTCTCTATCGCTATGCTCCTAAAAAAAGCCGAATTGAAAATATTTCTGTTATAAGTATGAAGAGACAAAACAGCACAATGATAAATGGAGGAAGCTCCAGCAGTCATAGTTAGAGCAGAAACAAGGGATATATGCGAAAAATGCCGATACAGAGCACTAAGAGAAACTAGATTTAGGACACATCATCTTAAAAAAAGCTCTAACAAGATATACGCTCTTCTCTCGTATGGTAATATGCCCGTCATTGGAGCAAATGCCCATTTTTAAGAAAACTTTAAGTTTATGCTTTTGCAGCAGACTAATCGTAAAGTTTCCTGCAAAATGAGTTTTTGCTCCAATCTGCCCGTATAATGGTAACGTGAGAAGAGCGTATTCTGAGCAAAAAATTAACAAAGTAAACAGAGTCAGCTCATTTTTTAAAAAGCAGTGTGAAAATACAAGTACAAATTAAACATAGGTAAACCTATTCTTGGTTTTCAAGGGATGTCACAAAAATCCAAACTCCAAAATCACAAGGACCTTTAAGGTTTTATCTCCATCTAGCAAAAGATCTCTTAAAAATAAACTTCTGTGCAAGTTTCAATGTGATAGCGTTTTCCGTTTTGAAAATATAGCTCTTTCTAATTTCCCAAGTTTCCTCTGCGTGACATTAATATGGGGCCCGAGAAGGCCGTCACATATGCTAAAAAAGAAATTGATAAAAATATTATATCACATGATATTATGGGCTTTGAATGGTGAAAGTATTAGAAAATGTGTTTAGGGGGATAATTTGATCATTTGCAGTGAACAACTGATCAAATTTGTGGCGATACTGAAACCAGATGTTTGCATTATTTCCGAGGAGCACAAATACGGCGTCCCATAGTGAGCCCTATAAATTGCTGTTACACATTTTGAAGAACAACTCAGCAGAAGAAAACTGCACAGATTTGAGACTTGGCCAGGTTGTTAATTGATTGACATTCTATAATATTTGATATTCTTGGCTTCAGACATTCCACAGTTTTTATTTTAGTTTTCGATGGCCTAACAGTGAAAAAAACCAATAAACCTCATACAAAAGAAAAAAAAGGAGCCACGTGTAAACTGGTTGGCACTAAGTGGTGTGAAATTTACAAGAAGTTGGTGTGTAATGTAATGGGCCCAATGGGAACTGAGCTAAACAATGTAATCAACAACCATAAGTCAGAAATACATTTTTTTGCCTTGAAATCCATATAAAGTAATAGTTCTTATTCTTTTAACAATTTCCCATTCTAACAGTTTTCTAAGAGTTTGATTTAGTGATAGCAGTTTTATCCAAGAGCATGTTATATGTATTTTGGTGAGACTGACTTATTCTGTCCTTTTTTGGTATACAAGAGCAGTATACAAGATCAAATGCTGCGACTGCCAGGCATCTAACATTGGTGAAACCGGCAGAAACCTAAGCATGTGACTGACCGAACACAAACGAGCGACGAGGAATGGTGATGTCAACAATCACATTGCTGAGTACCATTTACAGACGAAACATCAAATTGACTGGGACTTTGCGACATGTATAACGCATTCTACAGACTACTATCAATGTCTTACTTTAGAAAGCTGGTTTACTAACTTAGAACAAACGCCACTGAATCGTAGCCAACAGTTACCAGCGCCGTACAAACGACTAATTGACGAGATCAAGAAAAACTAACTATGAGAGAATGACTGGAGAACTAACAATTTGTCTAACAAAAGACAACCGTTAAACTGTGAAAATGGATGGATCGAAACGGACCAAATTATTACTGATTACGAGTCTTCATAGCCAATAACATCACGGCTTAACTGACAGACGACCAATAACATCGCGACATAATTGACCAATCAGATCAGTAACCAGAGTATAATACCATCAACTGACGTGATACAACTCACTTTGACTCTGAAGATGACTACCTCACAGGTTGTCGAAACATCAGTCACTGTCTTGACAACAACAGTCCTATTCAGGACTATGTTCACCAGGACGATCAAACTCAACCTACTTTTGAAGTGACTCCTGGGTTCAAACCTTTCACACTGATATTATTATTGGCTTTACATCCATTGTGGTTTTTGTCTTATCTTTTAGTTGCCAATAAAGATGACTGGAAAAACAAAAGACAGCGACTCTTCAGAAATCTATCAATAGCAGCTACTGCCTTGGTCACCTCTTTACCAAACTCAAAATCAAAGGACTCTTCTGAGGAGAGTAAGAAAGAGGCGGCATCTTCTGTTACTTCGTCTCCTCCACAGGCCTCAGCTGCCATAGATTGTACAGATGGAAGGGACGTTGTTGAG